CTGAATCGATGCAAATGTTTGTGAATGGGTTGAGGATTAAGACAGATCAATTGATTGACACAGCAGTCGGTGGCTCATCAAACTTTGCAATAGCCACTGGTGTGAAGAAGATAATTGAAGAAATTACTAAAAATGAGCATTTGGAGTTATACAGCAGTATTGTCAACAAGCCAGAGGGAATCATTGATTTGAAGTTGGAACCTAACAGACAATTAAAAATTGAAGAAACTGTTGTTGTAGAGGTAAATAAGAAGTTGAAAGCATTGAACTTAGGTACTCAACAAGTCGCCCAAGTTCAACAGACATAGACTATTGTGTGTGAAATTTGTAATGGACCGCACAGTACTGTGCAATGTGTTGCAACTCCACAACAAATTGAAGATGTTAAATTCCTGAAGCAGAACAATCCTTATTCGAACACTTGCAATCCTAGGTGGAAGAATCATCCTAACTTCTCTTGGAAAGATCAACAACAACAAGCTCTTCAAAAGGCAGAGTGGGAAGTGGCTATTGAAAAGATGGCGGCCCACACCGCTCAATTCCAATAAGAGACAAGGAGTAATTACAGGAATACCATAACTGCAATAAGAAAATTGGAAGTTCAAATGGGACAGATTTCACAACAGGTAGCGCTACAAGCACAAGGAAGTCAGAAAAGTTATGAAAATGTGAATGTTGTCAAAATTAGGAGTGAAAAAGTTGATAGAGAAAAAGAAGAAAAGGTGAGATTTGATGACAATGTCATAGAAGTAGAGCTGGAAGTGAGAGAGAACAGGAACAAACAGGAAGAAGTGGTACCGTCTGTGAAGCCAGTTGAAGATAAGACTAAGCCAACGATCAAGTTACGTATCCATCTCGAGTGGAAAAGAAGGACACAAAAGAAAAAGATTTTGAGAAATTTGTCAAAATTTTCAAAAACCTAGAGATCCACATACCGTTCTTTGAAGAACTCGAGAAAATGCCATTGTACCGGAAACTTATTAAGGAGGTACTTTCCAAAAAGAGACCAATAGAAGAAGAACAGGTACCCATAGATGAGAAATTGTGTACAATTACGCAAGAGAGAAAAATACATGTCAAGTAGAGGGATTTGGAGTCAGTTGCAATACCATGCACCATAAAAGATAGAGCTTTCAAGAGGGTTCTGGTTGATTATGGATCTAGTGTGAGTTTAATGCCATTATCGATTTTCAAGAAGCTCGGTATTGAGAAGATAAGGGGAGTGGGACAAAACTGAAATTTGTTGATCACACCATCAAGCAGTCATATGGGATAGCCGAAGATGTATTAGTGGAAATTAAAAATTTTGTTTTCCCAGTTGATTTTCAGATCATGGACATACCGGAAGATAAAGATACTCCTATCATTCTTGGTCGACCATTTATGTTGACGAGTCGATGCAATTTTGATATCAAGACATGTAATATGACATTGAAATCATTTGATGAGGTGATAACCTTGAAGGTGTTGGAAATCAAGAAGTAGGTTGCGGGTGGAAAGGATAAATCTTCAATCAGAATGATCAAAGTAGAAGGATAAGACAACATTTCAAAGTCACTCCCAGAAGAGGTCTCAGGAAAAATCTCTCAAGTGGCATCAATAAAAATTCCTAAGCTCAGTCAACATGGAAAGAAGAAAAAGAAGAAGGAACATCGAGCTGAAAAGATGGAAGTTGGAAGTGGCTGGAAGCACAAATGGGTTGACACTTTTGATCTGAATGAGTTCTGATTTGCAAACAAGTAATAAGGTGTGGAAGAGGAAGTACCCCATAAGGGTATGAACCGTCGAGCCATGCGAAGTTACACAGAGCATTTTGTTGGAGGCAACCTACGCTTTTAATAACTTAGTTTTTGAATTTTTTGTGCAGGTAATCAAAAAGTGAGCCTTGCTGGTGACAGCTAGGAGGTAACAACTAGTATTACAGTTCCCTCTGTGAGTCACCTTCCTCGATCTTGTTCTAAAACATTGAGGCCAATGTTTAGTTCAAGTTTGGGGGGGGGGGGTATTGCTTTTATTTTTACTGCTTTTCTGTTTGATCTGTTTGTTGGTTTTATGCTGAGTGTTGTGTAAATCCATGAATTGAAGTCCATCCGAAAATTTGAAATTTTTTGTTTTATTCAAGAACTTGAGTCTCATAGAGTTCAAGAATAGTATATAGAGACAAAATGATGGTTATTCGAGGGTAGGAAGTTCGGAATAACGTGACAGGGATACGAGCCTAACGTGTAGATTTGTACCATAGTGCTTAAATCCTGAGAAGTACTCCTAAAGTAGTTTGTTCTCACAGTCTGGCAATAACATAGATTCACATGCATGTACGATTGAAGGAGAAAGAAATAAATTTGGAATCAAATGATGAAAAGTGGTAAAAGGCAACTGGCTCGCTAAGTTTGGTAGCCCTCACCAGGTTATTCAGTCCAAAGGGGGTTGATCCCCAAACGTCATCCATAAAGGATAATATTTAAACTGAAAAGTTTTGAAAATTTCATTTGAATTTATAAAGGAGCAAAAGCTCTTATTTGGTGCCTGAGCAAAAATCTCTCTTAATCGGTTTTGTGCGTGTAATGATCATAAATAATTATCATTGCCTTAATTTGACTATCCGAATGAAAAAGGAGGAAAATCAGAAAGAGACTTAGGTACAAAGCATAGTTAGAAAGGTATCTGAAGAGGAAACTCTAAATTTAAAGATTCTTAAGCAAACTCTTCGTGTCATATGAACATCGGATGGGTTGTTATTTGATCAATTTGAACGGATGTCTCACGTATGAGTATCGGGCTACTGGGTTTTTCATGAGTTCTTGTACTGGTTGCTTGAGGTCAAGCAACATTTTAAGTTTGGAGGAGTTTGACCAGTGGTTTTTAAACAGGAATTTTGCATTTATTTTACTCATCGTTTCTTTTAATTGACTCGTGTTTTATTCCATTTTACCGCATTTTATGCTTTGGTTTGGTATTTTAGTGTTTTCAGGAATAAAAGAATGAAACAGGACAAATCGGGGAAGAAAAGTGCAAAATTCAGAAGTTTAGAAAGAAGTGCTTCAGGAGCCCTGACACGGGCCGTGTCAGGGGGAGAATTTGGAAAGAAGTGAAGATTGGAGCAAGGCAGAAGGCAACACAGGCGCTCGTGTCATACGACACGACCCGTGTCAAAGCAGCTGAAGCGTGCATTTTTGGAGGAAGGATCACAGGCGCTGACACGGGTGCCTATGTCACATGACACGACCCGTGTCAATTCAGTTGGGCCAAGAGGTTGAAAGGAGCAGATCACAGATGCTGACACGGGTTCTGAGTCCGGTAACACGGCCCGTGTCAGCTCAGGCACTGAAAATTCTTAAGTTTCAGAATTTTTAGTGTTTTTGAACCCTGGAGGCTACTTTGGACTTTTGGCATATCCTAGCAAAAAAGAGACTACTTAAACCTATTTTGTAGAAAAAAATAGGACTTTTGGAACAAAGAATAATTTGAGGACAGAAGATTGAAGTCTCTGCAAGTTTTGGGAGAACGAAAAGCTTTCATGAGCAAAAGCAATTGAAGATCAGAGTTCATCATTAATTTGTGTAATGTCTAACTTTATGTTTATTGAAATTTCCTTGAACATTATGTGCGGCTAAACCCCTAAATGCTAGGGGTGTTCCTGATTTGCAATGTTAATAATACTGATCTCTTTGTTTTATTCAACATAGAAGTTTTATGCATCAATTTAATTGTTTAGAAGAATTTATAGTTTTACCCTATGGGACCATAGGATTTCACTGTTATTAACACATTAGAGTCGGACGGTCGTGTTAAGGTTTTCTAAATAATGATATTATAGATGATTTCACCTACTAGGAGAATCCTATGATAATCAGAATAGTTCTTGATAATTACATGCTTAACCTCAAAACTAATTTTAATGGAAATTGAAATTAGGGTAGAAGTTAAAGGTTTTTCACTAAGGACTTTGGGAAAGATAATCTTAAGAATCGGTAATTGAGGTTGATGAACTTGTTGAAAAGATCAAAGAGTGAAGGTTATTTCATGGCAAATCATACACTCAACCCTAGAAGCTTTTAACCAAAAAGAAAAAGTCAAAGTACTTTCATCCCTTTAATCTTTCGCAAAGATATTTTCGAATCAAACCTTAAACTATTGTTTTTGATTGAATTAATAATAAAACTAAGTATTTCCTACGCAATCCTCGAGATCGATATTTGGGGTAATACCCATTATTACTACATCGGTGACCAATATGGAGGTTGTGTCATGTGAGTGAAGTATATGTAGTCACATGTCTCATTGTCAAACCTCAGAATTGTACTATCTTGAACAAGAATATTGGTCTTGGAATTTTCTTGAAACCATGCGCACACCCTTTGAGATACAACTGTATTATTCTCCATATGTCCTTTTTGAGGACCAAGAAGGTGATATAATTCCCTTGTACAACTCATCTCAAACCTAGAGTTCATTTGTTATACAAGCTGCTCCACCATCGAGTCTGACATCCATCCAACACAACTGATATTCTTCAGCACCTGATTACTTTCTTCATTTGTTAGAGCTTTTCTCTGAGTCTTTCTTTCAGTGGCTATCCACTTCAAATACTTTCTCTTTAGCACATTTTTGCAGAGATCAACATCTTCAGTAATATCTTCAATATCTTGTTCAAACCCAACATAAACTCAATTTTTTACATGGATAGAGCCTTCATAACCACTTACAACATTATCAATGTTGTCATTTACCTTTATCACATGATCCTTTTCATTAGTACTCTTTTCTCCATAATTTTCTTCATTATGTTGGCACATAAGAGGTCTTCAGTTTCCACATTCAAATACATGTTGAGAGAGACTTTTCACATTCATCTTTAGAATATATCATAGTCTTGGAATCCATTTGATGACTTCAAGATGGGCAATAAGATCATAGAGACTTCCATCTTCATCAACACTTTTGCCATTATGGGTAGTCATCTCATTTATAGATTATGTGTTCTTTGAAATCATTTTATA